GAAGGACAACATTAGTTATCTGGTCAGTTAATTTCAGTTAAATATGTGGGGCACTGATTTCTGAATGCTTCTCATAAGCAACTGCTAGGAGCATGCATCTTGAGTGGTTAGAGGAAGCATTCATATATGCACCAGTGTTTAGGGGAGTCTGTATTTCATCTGCAAGGGAGAACATTTTATGGCTTAATTTTCTTTTCAAAGAACACCTTCTCCCAAGGTTCAGAACAAATGAATGCTACATTGACACATTAGGTACTGCACAAAATCATCCAGAATTAGCACCTAGGCAAACTTTTGCATGCACATAAATAAAAAGCTGGGGAACCTGAAAGGCCAAATAAATAATAAACAAATTAAAATGAATTGATTGGCTGTCAATATCATCTACAGGTGCCTTGTCGACTGGCGTGGGCGTTCATCTACTCCATAATCTGCGATCTCCTGCAGCATGTATCAGTGTGTGCTGACACACCTCCATGCCATGCAACAAGACTGTCAAGAATCTTCTCTCGTTGTCTTCCTCTATCCCTCCTTCCACCGATCTTTTCAGTGGTCACAACATGTTTCATTTTCCCATTTCTTATATTTAATCTTCTCATAAAATGGCCGAAAAATGATAACTGTCTTCTTCTGATGCCTGTGTTTAGTTGTCTTTGGGCTCCCCCCTCTTTCAAAACCTCTTGGTTGCTCTTTTTGGCTGTCCAAGGTATTTTAAGCATTGTACTGTAAAACCACATCTCTGAGGCCTCAAGAAATTGTTTGGCCTGCCTATACCAATTGTCCCAGACTCGAAGCCATATGTTAAATGTCAAAATACAACATACAAATCTAAAGTTATAATCCTGGTATGGTAACTATAGCTTTTATCTACAGGTACCATTCAATATATGGTATTCTGTTTATCATGCTTTTGCAATACATGTTTCTGTTGCATGACAATGCTTGTCCACATTTACTGAACTTTGTACACTGAGCATTAGCTAAGAAGATGTTTGAAGCTTCGACACACTGCCAAGTGGCTTTTTGTACTAAAGTTCAAGGAAATACATACTCACATGGACGCAGAAGTTACGACAGCAGTGACCAAATGGTTCAATCTTCTCCTTTTCATTCTTCCTTCCAGTGATTTTTCAGATAAGAAGGCCACAGGCTCATGTCCTGTTCTGATCCATACAGCCTGGTTTCCACCAGAATGCCAACTGGCCAGACCTAGGATATTTCTTATGCATGTAAAATGTGTGTCTCCAGCAGATGTTCAGTATTTTTGGAGTAGGCAAAGAACTGAGTCCACAGTCTTGAATTCCTTGTATATGTGGCTGCAGTATCTGTTGTCTAGTTCGCAGTCTAAACACAATAGTCTCTTTGTTTCATGTGACGATGCTAACTGGCTCTTCAGGATGAGAAGTGTTCCAAAAGACCTAATAGCTGCCTTGATGTGGATTTTTTTTTCTTCTCAAGTGCAACCTGTATCTGACTGTTCTTGTACTGCTGCCTGTTTCTGCTAAGTGCTCATTCAGAATTGTTCAGTGAGAACCAAGTCCTTCATAGATGGCATCTGCTGTCTCCTCACACAGCAGGATGTTTCTCTCTGAATGTCTATGGTAACTTCTTAAAATCCCAGATGCGTGCTTACTTCCTAGCAGTTGCTTTGCTTAATTCTGCCACTCATGCTAATATATCTTTCATACATCTGTTCTGTCGGTGTCTATGGCTTAGGCATTGCGAATGAGCTTCAGATGCCAGGGTGCTGGGTTTGATCCCAGCTGGAAACGGTTTGTCTTTCTTTGTTATCGACAATGGTACCAAGCACTGACTGTTTAGTAAGCAATGGCAAACTACTAAACCTAAAATCTGCCTAGAAAAACCACAACAGCTAAAAAAAAAAAATGGGGGTTAGTTCTGCAACATCCTGTGAAGGTTATGCAACTAACTTTAAACATATGTACTAATGTCACAGGGATTTATTTCATGTGATCATGTTTTATATATAGATATACATAATAGCAATACTTACACACGTGTTCATTTCAAGACAATAAACACAACCACACATTAAGGGAGAATTGAGCTTTAATGAATATGTTCTCAGAAGAACAAACATTTTTGAACAATTGTATATTAAAATAGTTCAATTTGGTGTAAAACAGCACTGAGGAAGTTTGGTTTTATCTTATCACAGAAGTAATGCAACATGAAATATTTGTCACTAAGGTGAGAAACTTGGTGCTTGATGTTCCAATCTTACTGCAAACGGGTTGCCCCATAATTGCTTCGAACCTGTGCCAGTAAAAATCGTACAAAATACCCTTCATTGTCCCATTTAAATAAATCTTTTGAAAAAACAATTATTCCTGGCAAAATCCACAAACATGCAAGAAACAAACAGTCAACTTCTTTTTCTTCTTATCTTCCACCTTGTACCTAAGCAAAGTGTCAGGGGGAGATGTAATGTTCGTTGATGAGCTCTGTCAAGAGCACTATTAAGACTAATGTTCATTTCTGTAAGGCTGTTCTTAATGTCATTACTCCATATTTTCTGAGGTCTTCCACTCGCACTATACCCGTTGTAACGTTTTAGTGTGGCTCGCTGTGGCAGATAGTACCAGGGCATTCTTGTTAGGTGTCCAAACCAATTAATTTATTGTTCTTTGATGACCTGTAAGACTGGCTTTATTCCTAGCATTCATCTGATTTCGTGATTTCGTATTCTTTCCTTGAAACTCCTCCAGTCAACTGAGATGACAAAAGCAACAGTCGGAACCAGAAACTGCAGTTTTGTCACTGATGGAAGTAGTCAGCCATGACGAGCTGGCCATGCAAACGCAAAACTATTTCTTAAGGCACATCTCCATAAGAAAACTGGCCCCCACTATTTCCTTTATATCACATGATAACCAAGTTATAGTTGAAAAGCATTTCACACAAAATACAGAGTGTTGCACCAAGCACTCAGTAGCTTAGGCAACCAAACCTTGGACTCCAGTCCATATGTAGACAGTGGGTTAGCAAAGGGTGTCCAGAAGCAAACAACACTTCAAGATTAGACTTCCTGCTTATCCACCATTTGGACCGGAAGTGCTAAGATTGAAAGAGAGTCTGTAATGGCTAATTTTGATGTACAAGATTCATGCACATACAGCTGAACCGGGAAATAGTATCTGTACACAGCAAAAATGTCGTTTTATAAAAGAATTCTGGAAAAAAAAATGGACAGATAAAAACTGTAGTCATGTCTTGAAAGAAATGACCCCTTAAGTGAACTGATTGTATCAGAAGTCAACCAACATTCTCTGGGCATATACTGAAAACGGGGAAACTAGAGTATGTCATGACAACAGGAAAACTGAAAGGGAAGAGAGACAAAGGGAAACCAAGAGAAAAGAGCTTGGATATATTAGAATCATGACATGGAAAAACATGTATCAGAAAGGAATGACAAAACATAAGACAGAAAGCTGTAAACATGCATGCACAGAAATTAGGAAGAAGAAGCAACAATAAAAGACTGATGAATACCAGATGCCACTAACACTTATGTTTTTCTATTAGCACTATGCTACAAGTGCCAAAGTTAAGTTAGTTTCATATCCTTTACAGGATGCTGCAAGCCAGCCCCTGCATTTGTCGCTTTCTCTGGTTTTACTAGGCAATTTTACATTCAGTAGTCACTGCTTTCTAAATGGTCAGTTCTCCGTTCTATTGTTAACATTAATGAACAGTAGTTCTGCTCCCAAACCACTTGCAGCTGAATCAAATGGGTATTTAGGAAATACAAACTGTATTCCTAACACCTTAGCCACAGACACCAAGAAGTTCCAAAAACTGGATATTAACAGCAACACAGGCTGCTCTCAAATCAACTGATGCTGACTTTGAATCTTTGTATATTGGAACTGTGAAAATGAAAACCCTAAACCACATACACTGACAAGGTGGCTAAAGATTTGAAAATTAAAATATGCTTAATAATTTGGTAAAAATTATTTTTAAACTAATTTTAAACATCTGCACTAATGTCACTGGGATGGATTTCATGTGATCATGTCTTATATGTGCATATATATTTCCATCTTTAGCAGCCATGGCAGAGTTCCAGTTCCAGTGGTACCAAAAGCATTTTGATTATATTTCTGTGTTTCTTCCTTCAGCATTATAAAGACACATGGGACATTCCAATTAAGGCGTGGGACAAGCTCCTCCTCTCCATAGCATAAAACCTGGGCCGTACATATTGCAGAGATCACGTGTTGCCCATGTGGCATGATCGCTTTCTAGGCAAGCTGCAGAAGTTACTAGATCAGAAGAGCAGTGCTCTGTCTATTTACCTGTAGGAGCTTACCTCCTAGATCAGCTGCCAGCGGAAGTTGAGGTCCAGGTCTGTCTTGCCATTACATTCGATTTTCAGGTTTCATTTTCTCTTCCTAGGACAATGCTGATCATTTCACCATTCCCAGCATGGTATCAACTTTGCGGTTTCGAATAATGGATCAACATCATGGCACATGGGTAGTATCCCATAAGTGATCCCATCTTCTTCTAACTCAAGTCTTGAGTCCGAAGAAGCTCAGCACAGTGCACAGGCTCTGTAGCACCGGCAAGGATCCTTAAATACTTTGGGTAAAGTTTTAACTCTAAATTTTTCCCAGGCAGTATCGTAGGCTACTCTTTTCGACTTATAACTGCCAAGGGATTTTTTGACATGCACAACAATGCACACGGGCGTCTGATTTCACTACCCAGAGATCAGGGGGAATTACTAGAAGTCCAAGCCATGTGAAAAGATCCCAGCCCTTACCGGCGATTGAACCCGGAACCTCTAGCACTCAAGGCTAAAACCATGCCTCAAGACCACGCAGCAACAATGTATGTGATTACAGACCAGCAAACAAGTGCTTACATGTATATCTCCATAACAACAGAAACACAATTCTTCATTTTAGAAGATAATGATAACACAAAAATCCATTTCACAGCTGAAATAATACTGCCATGTAGTCACATCAAGTCTGAAACATTGACCAAATTAAAAGTAAAAGAGAAAGAACACATGTGACAGCAGTGTTTGCCCCCTCATACAGCAGTTTTGGTGAGAACACAGTCCAGACAAAGAGGTGATATCGCTGTGTTGACATGAGGACTGTGTAGATGGATGCTGGCAGAGCCCGGCTGAGGAGAAGTGTACTACAAGCTCCAGTTAGCACTGATGGCAGCCTAGAAAACACAAGGAAATTCCAGATATAACTTGTATCTGTGATAAGTATTATACAAGCAATTTCTCCTACATCTTTACTTCCTTTATGTCTGCATGTCATAAAAAATAATTGGGCAAAATTTGATTTTAATCTGTTGGTATATAAAGAAATCTTTTTTTTAAAACTTTTTGTAAAATAAGCTTTTACTTAGCATTAAACAGACACAACTAATTTCTCACATAGTTTAATTGTGGAGCAGTGGTTTCGATCATAAGCATGTCCTTGTGAGGGGCATATGGAGTTACTCCTTACCTCACTTCTTTGGTGCATGTCAAAAGTGAGGCAAATATCATTAAACTGTCATTATGACATCATCAAGTTAATCTGCACCGTGATATTGCATGCTTAACAATCTTGACATCTTCAAAAACAATACTGACAATGACATGGTTATTGTAATGTCTATCACATTTTTTTTAAAGTTTTTTATTTGAAGGCCTCCTCCCTATTTTTTCCTCACTATACCCACCCCCTTCCCCCCCTTTTTCCCCCCAATAAAAATTAAAATTAATATGACAGTTAAGTTAGTTGTGTATCCTTTACAGGATGTTGCAGAACCAATTCCAGCATTTGGTTTTTGGCTATTGTGGTTTTTCTAGGCAAATTTTACATTCAGTAGTTTGCTACTGCTCCCTGAATGGTCAGCTCTTGGTACCACAGTTGAAACCAATGGAAGACAGACCATGCGCAGCTGGGATCGAACCCGGCACCACAGCATTATGAAGCACGTTCGCAATGCCTAAGCCACAGACAGTACATACCTGTATTCTGAGCATTTGTAATCTTTGTCACACATGAGACACACAATTCTCAAGAAGGTCACAATCCAGAAAATGGTTCCTGCGTAGGTAGCCAATGCAAGAAGAGGTCCGGTCATTGCTGGTGTAAACTCCTCTAGACCTGTATAGCCGGTGGTCAAGTCTAAAGTGCTCAGACTGTTTGAGTTGCCCTGCAATAGAAAAGTCAACCACTCAATCATTTATTTCATACTCCTAAATTTCCTCAACAGCCCCAACTTCATGCAGCAGATCTTTTCTAAAATGTCTCTCATCACAGCTTGCCAGAAAAACTCAGTATTTTTGTCAGCTATCCAACCTTATTTTAGAAATACTCAGTATTTCTGTCAGTTATCCCATGTCTAATACACTACCAAGAACAGAATTTACAACACCATACTGACTCCTTGCATGGATTTTTATCATGGTATGGGGCGTCGCAGGTAGACCCATCCTAAAATGGGTACCAGGATGAATGTCCTGGGGAAGTAAAAATGGCAGGCGTAATGCTGACCACATTACCCACCTTGTGCCGATTGGTCTGTAAAAATATTGGCGCTCTTTCCATATGCCTGCTGCGCCTAAAGGCGTGAAAAGGGATCTTTACTTTTTTATACTGACTCCTTACATCAAACCTGTACAAAGTATGATATGAGAAAAAAACATCACAAAACTGGGGTAATAAGAATAGGCAGGAAACATAATATCATGAACGTTTATGTTAATAGTACTACATGAGATTTCAAATATCTAGAAAGCATTTACATAGAGGATGGCAGGTCGAAAGAGAGCAGCCAGAGTAGAGAAGACAAATGCTGTTGCCCACCATCACCCAGGCCACATGAGACGTGCAAGACAAATACAGAAAACCATGCCCCTGGGCTACAACCTGTTATCAGTGAGACCACACAAGAAGAAGATGCCTTCTTTTCTTATTTAAATTCATTGGTGTCCTCATCTCTTTTAGCCTGAGCTGCTATTTTACTGTAATATCCCTTCACTCCCAGAGATTTGAGCTTAAAAGCAATTAATATTTAGCTCTGAAAAGCTGAGCAGAAATAATATGGAACAGAAGTGGCTAAACATCTGTGCCTGAAGACATCAAGAATGCAACACCTTAAGGGTTCAAATCTACATTCGAGCTTTTTCTCCCCTCCCTTTCCAAAACTGACCTTGGCTTGTCCTAGGTCAGCCTAGCCTAAAATGTGTACCAGGTAAAGTCTTAGGAAGTAAAGGTGGCTTACATGATGCTAACCTCATGACCCATCAAGTGCCAACTGGTTTATAATAATAATTGTCTAGCACTATACCTGGATTTTGCCGGGACTACTTATAGTTTCTGTTTGTTCTTCTTCTTCTGTCTTTCTAACCCTCAATGGAGCATAGGCCCTCAACCAACTAACACCAAGTTGTTCTATTCTTCACTATCGCATGCAGCTCTTTCTATCTTTTTAATTTCACTCTCTAGGGTATTTCTTCATTTCTTCGTCGCCCTCCCCCCACCCCTGTGGGTTCCAGTGCAAAGACATTCTAGTTATATTGTTCTCAGGTTTTCTCAACATGTGTCCTATACAATGCCAGCATCTTTTCTTCACCTCTTGGTCTGCGGGAACTTGTATAGTTCTCTCCCAAAGCTCTGTTTGTTCACTAGTTTGCAAATGGGATAATAAAGGACATTTTGCTGTTTTCACTGGCACAGTGATACAGCAATTATGGTGTGATCCATTTGCAGTGAGGCTGAAATCTTGACTGTCAACTAGCTGGGAGACTATCTGGCAATACCTTATTAAGTTAGTCCTGTCACATTTATTGTTACCACAGCCAGATAAATAAACGAAGAACTTAAGTGTTGCCAGATACATAAAGGACATATGTCAAATATTATTCCTGTATTCAGCGAAAACGCCGCTGGAACTATGTCGGCCACGTCCTTAGAATGGATAAATCAAGACTTCCTTACCAAGCCCTCATTTGGACACCACAGGGGAAAAGATCTCGTGGAAGACCAAGGGAAACCCTACGTAGAACTATCATCAGGGAAGGCTCGCTCATGGGCCACTCAAACATCCAAGACCTACAACGGATTGCAACGGACCGCCGTGCATGGAGAGTCACGACCTCTGCCCTATGTGCCGCACTCGACACAAGAGGAAAGACTAACTAACTAACTATTCAGCGACCTCTGTTGCAAAATGGTCAAGCCATTTGGCTCACACTCTGACAAGTCATGGCTTTATTCAACAGGCTGTGACATTCTGTTCGTATGTGCAATTTGTAACCAGATCCCTGAGGATAGTTGCTGGAGCTATAGTTTTCATGCTTTGTGTGATGATGTGGGAGGGCAGCCAGCCATTCTGCAAAGAGAGGCAGAGCCATAAGGGATATGTCTCTTTCCTATTTTTGGGATATGTCTTTAGGTCGCAATCTTTCCCAAAACATTCTGATGACTCATTTTGATTGCCCAAAGAATTTGACTATGAGCATTTATATGTACATCTCTCTCTCTCTCTCTCATGTGTGTGTGTATGTGAAAGTAAAAGTAACGTTTATTTCATCTATGCCCTACACGGACTTACCTGAAAGAAGAAGAATGCCTGCCCCATCCACAGACAATACAATACAATGTACGTCGGTTGCATACGAAATCTGATGACAACTGGTGTCATCATCTGCTCCACTAATGACATCACAGCCACCACAGGGAGGTTGTGTGGCCGCAGCACTAGACACATGAAGCATAGAAAGGCAGCTGCCACGCCCCTCAACCTTTGGTGCATACTAAAACTAACTGTCTCTTCATCCTGCATTTGGCCAGAAGATCTGGATGTGCCACAGCTTGATCTTGACACAGAGCTGGTTGTTTTCTTCTGACGAGCTATGAAGCTAGATGCTTGAGCTGCTTCATGAGAGAGCGTCGTCTTCTTTGAACTCTGACCAACAAGATCTCTCTCACTAACTTGACAATGAGGTGATTCTGTATGACGTGACAGTACTGGTACATAGGCTGCTTTCTTCAGTTTAGAAGTCTGTCCTTCAATGGCTGGCAGTGTTTTGGGCCTCTGCTGAACATCATCAAGTTTGAAACAATTTGTGGGTAATAAAGACAAGACTACAGTGATACCCATGAAGAAGAATGAAGCTCTTGCTTCCAGGATTCCCCTGAAACAAATTGACAGAATAATTTGCAGAAAAACACTTGATTAATATGAACAAACTTTTGGTTTCAACATGGATGTATTATTTTATAAACTCAATTTCTAGACCCTTGGAATTCATGTTAAAAAAGATTCTACTGTAGTCACTTGTGAGCGTCAGCAGTGGCGTAGTGGTAAGTGAGCTTGCCTGTTGACCCTGGTCCAGGTTTCATCTAATTCTTTTCATTCTTTTTCTGCATTCACCCCTCAAAGGGCAGTTGCTATGTTGTTTTGTGGTTTACAGCTAGGTTGAGATATTTGTGCCTTTCTACCCAATTTGGACCCATTTAGCTACTGTGGCTCTCTCTGTGTTAATATGTTAGATTGTCACAAAAATGAGATCACTTAAGTCCGCCTCTGATATGAAAAAAAAAGCAAGTCTTCTTTTTCTTCACATTTACAGGCCATAAAATCTGTGCAGAAAGTCCTGATTGTTTGTCCACTTCTCGGTTCTGAACTTGTACAATCTTTTGGTTCTTCGTCTCTCAGGCAGGTGCAGTCAGACTTCAAAGGAAACCTAATGTCTATTTATGTAGGCCAGGCTTTCATACATGTTGAAACCTATTTCTTGGATGACCGAGGAGAGGTTTAGGCAGGTCTTGACCATTATGAGCCTTGGTCATGGTGCTTCACCACAATTAATTCAGCACCAAATGATATGAGCTGATGGAAGTGTCAATTTGGACCCAGTATTTATTCTTTCTGGAACTAATTCATAAAAAAGGTATACAACTTCCATCTATTTTAAAAGTAGTGCTTGTGTGGACTATGATTTCCAAATGTTGCTTAAACTGGAAACAGTTATTTTGGCCTTATTAAATTCTATATTTCTTCCATTTGTGAATGCCTTCTTCTTTTCTATCCTTTATCCTCAACAGAGCAGAGGCCCTTAAACAAATCACACCAAATCATCCTATTATTTGCTATTGCACACAGCTCACCCCCTGTCTTTCCCATCTTATTACCTTCCCCATCTAGCTTGTCTGCCTTTACATCTATGTCTCTGCAGATATAAGCATAAAGACATTCCAGTAATACTGTTCTCAGATTTTCTCAATGTGACCTATCCAAAGGCAGCATCTTTTCCTCACCTCCTGATTCACTTGAACGTGTTAAACTTCTTCCCTAAATCCACCGTAGCTGTTTGCCTTAGACTTAAGAGTCAGTGAAAAACTGATTTACAGAGTGCACCAAGTAAATTAAAATTGCTACCTTGCCGACAGAAACCATGAGGATGGAAAAAACAAGCTTTCTCCGGCAACCCGATACAAGTAAGCAGTGCAGAGAGCCAAGTTGACCGACATGCTCTGCACCCGTTTCAGGTGCCGTCCCTGCGATGCACCAATGATCATCATAGAAAACACAGCAACCAGGGAGAGGTACATCTTGTTTTCAGCCCTAAAAATAATATAAAAATAGAAACTGTTTTTACTAATTAATTGCATACAAATCTAATGTCTAATCTTCTACCACAATTGTTAAACAAATAAGAAGAACTTGCACAGCAAGGGTCCACTGATCAGCAGCAGAAAGATCCCTTGTCAACGATTGTTTCGGCCCATTACTTCCTATACAATCTCAGAATATGGGCCGACCTGGGTCATGACGCCAGGCTTCGATCTTTTGTTGCTGCACTTTATCAAACTTTTGGACAAGGTCAAGATGGAACGGTGACTTTGCAACAGGTATCGTGAGATTTGGTGTTACATATATTGTGGCTGTGGTAGCAAATTAACCAACTACCTTCACGACCAGAGTGACAGGTTTGCAGCTGGTTCATCGGACAGATGTTAGACTGGCATTTGGCAGACATTTATCGGACACTTTGGCTATTAGACCAGTCGGCTCGGACCAGTCTACCAAGAAAAGCAAAATAAACAAAAATGCTAAAAATGCCAACTGCCTATTAGGCATATTATGCTAGACTCAAAATTAAATAAACCAGTCGGCACTCAGTCAACATCACACCAGTCACCTTTATTTCCAAGGATGTCACCTGTTACCAATTTTAGGCTTGATCGACCTTGGAGCTTAAGTTAATTTTCAACAACAACAAACTTAATGCAGCTTCAAACACAGGAGCTTTATGCCAGCAAGTAAGTATCTAGCCATTAAGCTACTGCAGCTGTGTATAGTTGTAAAAGCACTGTGTTTTAAAATGAAATGTCTTTATAACAAGAACCTGGAGCTTAAAGTAAACATAAAAGATTCTTTTCATGCCACTGGTGCATATGATGCTAGACCCATATTTTATAGACCAATCAGAATTTGATTGAAGTTGCTCTTAATGTCATTTTTCTTTCTTTTTTTGCCAGGTCTTTATCTCATTTCAGTCCTAGTTTTCATTTAATTTCTTCATGTTTAATTTTCTTTCTTCTTGTTACTCTGACAGCTCCATGACATCTCATCTCGTTATGATTTTGTGCTCATTAGTTGTAGTAAGGTATCACTACACTATCTGGTATCATTAAACACACAAACCTTTTACTCCAACAAGAAAATTAAGTGGACTCTTGAGAAAATTTTGCACTAGCAAGAAAATGACACAGCTATTATTCACAATTTTATGATTGTTCATCATCATCACGTGCCCTGCCGACTGGCTTAGCCGTTTATGCATCTCCACAGATCTCTGTCCCTTGTTCTCTGGATCAGTTCCACCAATAATATGCCACCGTCGCAGTCCATCCGTCATCATCTCTCTTGGTCTGCCTCTACCTCATCTACCGTTGATCTTCCCAGTCATTACAACATTCTCCATAGCCTCCTCCCTAATCACATGACAAAAGATGCTTGTCTCTTCCTTAAGCTGTATAATTGATCTGTTTTTATTAGCTTCCTTCAAGCATTTATTGTTTCTAGATAAGGCAAGATTGTAGGCCTTTTTCTGAGCTTAAATTAAAGGCAAAAAAAGTAAAACCAAAAACCTCATTGACTATAATCATTCATAAGTAAGCAAAGTAAAGAACCCTTTTCACGCCTTTAGGCGCATCAGGCATATGGGAAGAGCACCCATATATTTACATACCAGTCAGCACTAGGTGGGTAATGTGTTCAGCATTATGCCGGCCGTCTTTACTTCCCCAGGACAGCCATCCTGGTACCCATTTTACACTGGGTCAACCTGCAATGCCCCATACCATGAACAAAATCCACGCAGATGGCAGTGGGTTTCGATTGCGGTACGTTGGAATTATGAGTCGGACTCACAACGCCTTAGCCACGGACGCTGCTATAATCATTCATGATGGGTCATTTTACAGGGATAATTTACATACTCAATGTGTGTGTTGTCCATCAAGATGATGATGACCACTCTTTTTCCATCAAGTATGAGTACGAAGATGACTGATGAGGCCGATGCGGTCCCAAAAAGTACTTGGACAGTGAGGACAGGGAATGAGCGTTGTGCCAGGGAGGGGATCTCCTGCAGTCGCCTTTCTGTCCATCCTTTTCTTAATCAGTATACATAATAAATCACTACAGCACACATATTTTATTTACACAAGAGGTCACTTCACAGGCATTTTAACCACAAAAGATCACTTCAAATACATATTACATACACAATAAATCATCTCACATATATACTACATACAAAATAATCACTTCGCAGACATATCAAATAAATAAAAATTACTTCAAAGACACATTACGCACACAATAATCACATCAGACATATTACATACACAATAATCTCCTTACAGGCAGAATCTATCAATTCAAATACATATACATTATATCATTTCACAGACATACTATACATAATAAAAGACCTCACATACATATAACAACAAAATAAATTACACCACAGACATATAAGAACACAATAAATCAACACTTTTCTCTGTGTGTGTGTGTGTGTGTGTGTGCATAATAAATCACTTAGGATATATATTACCACTATAAATCACCTCAGACATATTACAAAAACAATAAATTACTCAACAACATACATATTACCTGTATAACAAATCTGTTCACAGACATATAAAATATACAATAATGACCTCACATACATAAGAAATAGCTTCAAAGACATATTACATACAGAATAAGCCAGTCTCCAAAATCTGGGACATCAATCCACTTGTTGCCAGTCTGGTTCCACCGCCTCAAAACCCTCAGCAGGACCAGCACACAAATAATACTGGCAGAAACATGCAGAAACTCCTTGGAACTTATACAGTACACATTTCCTTTGGAGTCTCCTCCCTTTGGTTTGTCTGACTTTCCTAGAGCCTTTCCAACATGCAAGCAGTCTGACACCTCCTTGTCCACTGTTCTTGCTGACCAATGTCTGGGTTCTGCTGCAGCACTACCAGAATAATGACCTGAAGGTGTTGAGTTACACACTTGTATATTTCTGTCACATTCAGGCTGAACTGATTCTAGGCTGATTTTCCTGCAGCTGTTGTTAATATCTTCCCCAGTTATCACCCTTTCATACGTGTTATGGCTCATGTCAATTGCATTTTTGATGGTGCTTGAAGGGTATTTTCTTCTGTAACTGTTAAGCAAAAAAGTGACTGTTTGAACCAGTAGCAGTAGATGCACTGTTGTTGTTAGGAAATACATTGTCTGGTGCTCTTCCTCCACAAAACTGCTGGAAACAAGAGTGAATGCATGAGCCAAAGTTCCAATAAGAAGAAATGCTTCCACAAAAGTCATCTTTTCCACCAAGGTCTGAAAATGAAGATTTTCAAAATTGCTTTAAATGACATGTCATGTATGTTTTCTGTGGTATAGACAAAACTTGTGTACTCTGGTAATAGAAGATGGAAGAATAATTAAAGAAGTTAAATGTAGAATAGCTCCAGCAAAAGCAGCATTTTATGAATGAATGAATGAATTTCTACCCCACCAGGACATCACATAAGCGATAAACACCCGATGACACAAAGTGCCACCATGTGGGTGAGGATCACCGTGGAGAGGTCCCAGAAACAGCGTTCAGACAATTGGCCATATTTATGGCCTGCCTATATTGCGGCTCCTGGCAAAAGCCAGAGTGGGGCTTCAAATAACAAAAAATTACGTCCTAAAAAGAACGTAAGGACATAGCAGCATTTTACAAAATGAAGTAAAATTCTATGCAATCCTTTTTGTCAACTGATGTGAGAAACATAATTCTCAAATATATACAAAAATGAATCATGGACAGTTATCTGATTAGTGAAAACTTATGTGGAAGCACTGGAGATATGTTTTATTGACAAATGAGATAGTTGAAGGTGGAAAAGAGGCAGTGGGAGACTGAGGGAAGTGGCTGGACAATAAGAAATCATGGTATATAGATCATCTGGATTAGAAGTGACTGCAGGTATGTGTGACAGAAGGTTGTGGGTCTGCAGTATGTGTGTGTGTATATGTATATATGTGTCTGTGTCTGTGTGTGCGTGCATGTGTACATGTGTATGTATATATGTGTATGTGCATGAGTGTGTATCTATGTGTGCATGTATGTTTGTATGTATGTCTGCATATATGCATGTGTGTGTGTATATATGTGTGTGAGTGAGTGAATGTAGAGTGGGCGTGTGTGTGTGAACCCGCATGCATTTACCATCCATGCCTTTTTGTTTTTTCCTTGATATTCATATTATGCATATTGTTATATTAACATAACAAGCTTTATTGATAAAACAAAATTGCTGTGTGAAAGATGGGTGTTTGCAAGAGCCAAATGTAAGCCGGTGCTGCGTGCGCACTTTGAAAATAAAGTTTGTTCAAAGTGGTCAGGCTTTTATATCAACCTTTACGGCTCTGGGAGTAATCATCATCAATGCCCCATAATACTGTGTGTCACTAAGTCACCTTTGCTGTTGACTGACCGATCAGCTCCTTCCACCTCTGTTGGTCAGAGACATGTTTGAGGTCTGTCATTCAGCCACATTCTGTATCCAGGTCTGCTTTTTCTCCTCTTCCCTTTTACACAGCCCTGTCCCTTTTACGCAGCCCTGTCCCTTTTACACAGCCCTGTAGTATCCTTCTGGAGATGGTGGCAGATCTAGTTACATGTCCGTACCCTTGAAATGTCTGTCTTTTACTGCAGTTAAAAGTGCTTTCAGCCCAATACATCCAATTTCAGCAAATCCCAATTAGTCTCCTTTCACAACATGCTTGTTGTGGGAGGGGGAGGGGGGTGTCTATTCCTGCCCCTCTTAAAAATTGAACCCTGGAACCCAAACAGTGATCTGAAGTCCATAAAACTTTATCTCTTATCCAGTTACTTGAAGGATTTTGGAAATTTTTTACAACAGTGATAATTATTCTGATCTTTTTTAAAGGGATTAACAATGACAATACAGTTAATCAATCTCCTAGTCTATATCCACTCATAATAAAACATTCTCACAGTATATACAATACTGTCACTTGAAGTAAAATGTGAGCAGATTCTAAGTTCCCTTCCTTGTCCTTTTTCTTCCCGATGTATAAAGAATCAAAAATTGGCTGCATTCTAAGAATGTCTGTCTGAGCTCAATCAACTTCTTTAGTAGCCAGTGAAGGGTTCTCATACTGACAGAGGTCGATGCAACCTGATTAAAGGTTCACCTGTCTTTTCCTGTACATGCTGAAAACCATCCAGACTTTCTGCCCACTCCCCACTGAATCTGTGTTTCCAGGCACGGATATTCTGTCTGTAATTTCATCCTAGAAAGCCTTCACCTTGTCCGCTTTACCATAAAGCAGCCCAATGCCTAGAGAAGCAGCATCAACCTATCTCTCAGCATGCTCACTACCCCACAAACCAGAATGTCCTGAGCAAGAAATCCACAATACAACAATTCTGAAAATTGCCTGATACCTGTTATTATGAGGCTTGTCAGAACAAACAATGTTACAGTAATACAGATAAAACTTGCCTGATATTGCCTTGGGAGGGATTCACACTGGGGTACTTCAGTTAGGATCACCAGCAGACATGTGACAAAGATGACTCCAACAAGCATCTGGGTTATAAAGCTTATTTGTGTGGTTTGACATAGTAATTCACTTGGAACACCAACCGCTGAAAAACAGGTTTAATACACAGACATTTCTGGCATTAAAGAGGGTAGACTATAAATAAAGTAAATTACATAGTAACTGTTAACATGACACAAAGAATATTGGGACACTGTGATGTGCCCATATTTTGATGACTAAAGGGCACATGAAATTTCGAGCATCTTCACTTATGAGTTATCATCTGGGTTATCCTCTCAGCACTCTAGACACATCTATACGTGCTTAGATTCCCCCTAAATATACATAAACCTCAACATTACATGGCTAACAGTCTACTCTTATGCTAGTTGATAAGATCCCTATTATATAGTGCCACTCATATCTGACTGAGTGGAGTTTTACTCCCAAATCTCTCACCATTAGCTGTCATGTGTGTGAGCTGTAGCTGCACTGTGGGCGAACTGCCCCAAAAGACCTCCCATTTTCCTTCCCTCTAAAAGCATTATTACTGTCAGTACAATGCATATGTCCAACTTATGCTACACCAAGTAATTAATTATTTAATTAATTTAGGGATCACAGAGACAACACAAACAGCACCTAAACTATTCCAAAGGCACACTAGGGATCACAGAGACAACACAAATTGTACCTAAACTATTCATTCAAAAGTCCGACTATGGATCAGAGAGACAATACAAACAGCACCTAAACTATCCCAGAGTCAGACTATGGATCACAGATTCAACACAAGCAGCACCTAAACTATCACAAAGTCAGATATATCAGTCAAAAGTAATTCTGAAGCTTTGCTGTAAATGAATCCAATGCAACCAACAATCATTTCCAGTCTAATATGAAAGGACAAAACAGGAATTACTTTCAGCTAGCAAATATCACAAACACCAACACTTCTACAACATAATATATAATATACACAGCACCACTACAACTAGTAGACAATGGAAGCAAAAGAGTGCTCTGACTTAGAACAAATCTGTTCTTATTCTTTGTTACTCCTAGGACATAATTATATTGTGTCTTGTGGTAGCTATGCCTTTCAGCTGACACACTGGACTTCGTCAAAAATTTACTGTCCAGGTTAACTGATGAGGGTCAGAAATTTTCCACTTCCGGATGCTGCATTTCAGGGTACCATGAACTCTAAGATTTCCTGCCAGCTTTGTTTAGAGCAATACTGGCCACTATCTGAGTTGCACGACGTTGACCTGTGGCAGGAGTCTTGCTTAGGGTTCCATAAAACCAACAAGAAAAACTCTCTAGTGTCGGAGGTGAATTACTGGGTATCCTCTCAAAAACAGTACAATGGCCTAAACTTGCTCTCATACTGGTGACTGAAATAATCATAACACAATTCAATACTTACCCGTACACATGGTGATATGTGACAAAACAGCCGCGCCAATGGCGGTGATCAAATGACTTGCATATCTGGACAAAGCCAATGAATGTCTTGTAGGACTTTTCTTCATGTGACTGATGATCAGTGACACAAGTAGCTGGCAAACAAAAGTAAATCTTAATGCACACCTTTGGTTTGCTTTTTATTTTTTAATTCTACTGTGTTTCTTCAAAATAAGACCAGATCTTATATTTACTTTTGACCAAAAATTCATCCTAAGGATTATTTTCAGGGGATGTCTTATTTTTCTTAAGTACAAAAATCTACACTTACACAAAAAATATCAATACTTATTCAAGTACAAAAATATGCATTTATTCAAGCACACAAATTCACAGTCCCCATCCTGAAGACCTGCAATGAAAACAGTCTAGTGTGCAAGGGCCACAAAGTTCTTCAAACTTTACAAAGGTTTTTACCTCTCATCTCAAGGCATGCGCTTGGGCATTTACAAATACTTAATATAATATATATTATCAATTATTCAGAGCATTAATGTCAGTATGATTTATTTAAATTTGTGTAATTATTATAATTCAATAAGTCCATCATGTGTTTCAACACACAAATTAAATCCATCGTTAAGCCAAACAATTTTAACTAGGGCTTATATTTTTGGGTAGGGTTTATATTCAGAGCATCCTGGAAAATAATGCCATGCCAAATTTTCAGATTAGAATTTAACACTGAAGAAACACTGTACTAGTTGTTTGATTATTATGATGATGTTAGTCTTTTGCCGTGGTGTTGCTGGCTAGACACCCACCTGCGGATCGGAAGGTCGTAGGTTCACTTCCTGACGGAACCAGATTTTTTTTTTCTCCAAAAATGACCTTGACTCCCAGGTCGACCTAGCTTTGAGTGGGTACCAGGTGCAGTCCTGGGAAGTAAAGGGGGCCGACATGATGCTGACCACATCACCCACCAAGTACAGATTGGTCTATAAAAATATAGGTCTAGCCCTACATTCCCAATACCCCTAAAGGCATGGAATAGGGACCTTAACTTTACTTACTTACTTAGTTTTTGCCCCATTATGGGAAGAGAACCTAAGGGACATGTGACAACAGAAAACATTAATGAAAAGACAGACAGAGGAGAACAATAGGGAAGATTCTTGACAGCTGTGACGGAAAGACAGCACAGGAATTGATACATGTTGTTGGAGAAAGCAAGATGTGGAAAAGCATGATGATCCAAAGCCAGTTGGCAAAGCAGGTAATGATGATAATGAAGATGACAATGGTTATGATGAAAAAGATTATGATCACGATAATGATGATTATATATAATATCAATGCATCCTCTAAACAAATCATGCACTCTACCAAAAAATCCATGACATGTACACTTTAATACATCTATTATCTGTGCAACAATACACCGCAAGACACTTTTTAACAAACACACACTTATTAAATCTTATTCATAACCAATGAATGGAAAGAACGCTGGGCTCTCAAGCAGAAGACCTGGGTTTGAATCCTAAGTAAGGTTAGGAATTTTGTTCAGTTGGGGCAGAGGTAAATCCCAACCTGCACAATCTGTGGCAAAAGCACTAGCCATGTCGCCCTAAATCCCCAGGCTCAAAGATCCCCCTTAAACCGTAAAAGTGTAATGGCAGTTTATTCATAAATAAGCTGCTCATCAACACAACAGCATACACAACACAACAGCACACACAACACAACAGTACACACAACACAACAGCACACACAACACAACAGTACACACAACACAAAAGCTCACACAACACAACAGTATGCACAACACAATAGCACACACAACACAACAGTACACACACCACAACAGCACACACAACAGCAACACAACACAACAGTACACACAACACAAAATCATTTACCATCCAAAGCAGAGCTATAGACACAGACATGGCATACGTGTCATACTGTGTAGACAGGGAGGTTACTTTTTCAGCTAGCAGGGCCAGACTTTGTGAATACATGCTCAGTAAAATCTGGCCCTCGTCTGCCCATGCAGTAGCTAGTGTGGAGTTCCTTGCCGCCAACCATTTATGATACTGATGTTTGGCTTTTGAATACAGCATGAAAGACGACTCTGGAAATGATTTGTTAACCACAAAAAGTCAGTTACCAGTGGAAGGCAGATGTAAATAAAGTATGGTATATGGTGAGTTGTCGGCTCTGTGGCTAAGTCGATGCAAACCCAATCTTTCTTGATGTTCAGAATTGTTATGGTGTAAATATTTTTTTTCTTCATGGTTCATTCTATTCTGAAAATCTTTCTACAGCATTTAGGCTCAAAAGCTCATAATTTATTCGTGATTTGAGATTTTCCAAAACACATTTGTATGTTGCTACAGCAAAGATGCTAGCACTCAAATTTTTGACTATATTTCCTTGTTCTTATGTCGTGATAGCAAAGAAACAGGTTCTTTACTTGTCTTTCTGGAAAGACATGAAGCAAACAAATGCACTCTCTATAAGAATAGCTTGCCTTGCATCTTCCTTAAATTCAAAAATCCCTGTGTGGGATCAAGGGTCCCATGGAGGGGGTGGGGTGGGAGTGTTGGGTGGGGGTTTGACCCACTTCCCCCGTAACAAGCATGTAGTCCAAGGTGAAAAATTAGTGGTGTTTCTTTCAAGTCCAAGTGCATCTGCCAGAGAGGTGAATAACCAGCAGTCTGCATACATATAAGCCAGATTTGTAAAACACATGTGCAGGCAAAGCTCAAGTTCTGAAACAAGATCATAGTTCAGAAATAGATGAATAACTCAAACTTTCCAGCTATGTTTACAGCCGGTGAATACTAAAAAAAAAAGGAAAAAATAAAAAGGAGAAAATCGAGAAAGGTTTAACATGACAAAACCTGTTAACTTAAGTAAAAAGAAAACAAAATGAATAGTGAAATGAAACTGTTACAGAAAAGAACCCACCTTTTTCTAAATCATGAACATAGCTCTTTAGAATCTGCACTGCCTGAATGGCATTCTGGTGGAGTACAGACACTTTCTCAGGTAAACTGTAGCCAATCAAAGCCTCAGGTATAACTTTGCCGAGGTTGTTTTTTGGAATAGGAAGTCCCAAAAGAACAGACAAGGTAGGGCACAGGTCAGCCTGAGAAATGGACGCCACGTGCTTAGAATCTGAAACAATATATAATTTTATAAATGATCTATTTCAAACACTGCTTCATTCACATATTACAGGGGGAGTTAGTTAGTTAATCGACTGGTCGTCGTTATCAGATACTGGACTAGTCCACAACTGCACGGATACCATCTTCAGTATCTCCATCAGCACAGGGCGACTAATAACACTAGTTATGTGTTGGTTTACTATTCTTCTTTGGCTGCCTGTTTAGTGGTCATGTCTGGCAAGACCCCTTTTGACATTAGGTTCTAGCAAAAGAATGGAGGTGGAGGCAGTAATTACAGCTCTCCAGTGGCTAAAGATCAGGATGCACACACATGTCGTAATTGTAACAGACTCTGAAAGCATGCTGAGAAAGGTGAAGACAGGGATGCTTCGAGCAGAGTGGCAAGCTTCAATTGGAAGGTCACGAGTAGTGAGCATACTTTAAATCTTTTCTCCAGGCTATGCCGGCGTGGTGGGTAATGAACAGGCAGACAGATTGGCTGGATCTGCACCACTGGGTGGTGAAGTGATAAACGACATGACAAACGTGGTCAAGGCCCTTTGGAAACAAGCAACGGAATCAGTAGAAGACATCTGGGTGTAACCAGAGGGCCTGGCCAGCTCACTACACTCAGAGGAAAGGCAAGACGGATTTATAACCAGATTGTGACCGGTACCATCAGTATTGGAACTCTGCGTTGGCTGCTGAAGATTAGTACAGAGCATATATGGGAATGCCCCGAGTGCTGTGATGTCAATTCTTGCCTCAACTCAACTAAACTAAGGTTCTTGTAGTCTTGTCAATGTTGCCAATTTGCTGACGCTGCCTGAATCATTCACTTGTCCTGCCTCTTTCAAAGAACTGAGAACATCAACCCAGTCTACTGCTTTTCTGTACCTACTGTGGCCCTGCCAGCAAACCAATTATTTCTAACACAATCTTTAATTATGCTGATATTTATAAATTGTAATACATATTAATGTTCACTTGTTATAGTTTAATCAAATTCGCATGAGGCTGATGCTTTTTTTTTAAACTGACCTTGGCTACTTGGTCAACTTGTTCTACAAAGTAATATCCTGGGAAGTAAAAGCAACTGCTGTGTTGCTGAATACATCACTCATCAAGCCCTGATTCTTCTTCTTCTTCAGCATTTCGAGCCCTTGAGGTTCATTGCTGCAGATATCACCAGCCTCCACTCATCTCTCTGGTTGGCCTTCTCTTTCCAGTTGGTGACATTATGTGTTTGCAGGTCTGTCTGGATGTTATCTCTCCATGATCTTCTTGGTCTGCCTCGTGGACAACGACCATTCTGATCTCTTGTGCGTACAGTTTTTACCTCTCTGTCATTTGACATTCTCTCAATATGCCCCAGTTATTTCAGTCTATTAGATCTCATGATGCCAGTGACCAATGGTGATTTAAACAGATTATGAATTTTGTTGTTGCTTTTCACTGTCCATTACCCACTGTTTGCATCTTTCATGGGTTTAAAAATTTGTAGTAATACTCTGTTTTACAAATTTGTAATCTCTCTTAGCTGTTCTTCAAGTTTCAGAGCCATATAAAACAATTGGTCTTATCAATGTTTTTTATATATTGATCTTTGTGTTGCGACATAGAGACTTTGACTTTAGCAGATGTTGAAAGGCATAGTATACTTTATTTCCAGATTGTATACTGGATTGTATTTCTTCTCTCAGCATGTTGGAGCAGTTAAAGTTTGCACCCAAATACTTATATGTTTCCATTCGTTTAATTTTCATATTATCAACTCGTATGTAGCCCGAGTTTATATCCTTTCCCTGTCTTGTTATTATCATGTATTCTGTCTTATTTTGATTAATAACTAGTCCCATTTTGTGAGCTGCTTCTTTTAAGAGAGTCAGTGTTTTTACAGTCTTTAGTTTATTTTCTATAATGATATCTATGTTATCTGCATAACCAAGTATTCTTATAGTTCCTCCTAAAGTACACTTTTGTTTCAATTTCCTTTTAATTTTCTTCAGCGCCAAGTTGAAAAGAAGTGGGGACAGAGCATCACCTTTTTTTAAACCAGATGTTATTTGAAAAGGGTCTGACTTTCTGCCTTTGTAAATAAGTGTCTTCCTTACATAGTTCTGTCATGCTAATTAACTTCTTTGGTATTCAAAAGTCCTTCATAGCATTCCATAAACTGTTTCTATGCAAACTATCATACGCCTTTTTAAAATCCACAAAAATATTATGTACGTCTTTTCTATATTCCCAGTTTTGCTCTATTTGCCATAAAATAAATATGTCTTCTTCTTCTGCCTTTCTATCCCCCAATGGAGCATAGGCCTTCAACCAGCTCACGCCAAGTCGTTCTATCCTTCGCCATTGCATGGAGCTCTCCCCATGTCCTCCCCATCTTTCTAACCTCATTCTCCAGCTCTCTTCTCCATGTGTTTTTTTGGCCTTTCTTTATTCCTATGCCCCTGTTGGTTCCAATGCAAAGACATTCTAGTTATGCTGTTCTCCTGTTTTCTCAGTGTGTGCCCTATCCAACGCCAGCATCTTTTCCTCACCTCTTGGTCAACTGGAGCCTGTTTAGTTCTCTCCCAAAGTTCTACATTAGTTATTCTATCATACCATTATATTCCCTCTATTCTGCGCAGGCACCAGTTAATAAATGTCTGTAATTTATTAGTAATTGCCTTGGTTGTTCTCCACGTTTCCGGCCCATACAATAGTACTGATTTGACATAAAAATTACAAAATTTTAATTTAGTATTTCTTTTAATTTCTTTTGACCTCCACAAATTATCGACTGGGTCATGCGCAAGTGCATAAATAACGCAAATTTAGGCATTACATGGGTTGACAAAATTCTGGAAGACCTAGACTTCGCCGACGACATAGCACTCCTGAGTTCAGAACACACAGACGCCCAAGAAAAAATCAATCGACTCCAGAATTTCTCAGAACAAATTGGACTCCAAATTAACACCGCAAAAACAAAAATTCTAGACCTTACCAACAGTTCAGTTGATATCACGCTTAACAACAACAGCCTTGAAAAAGTCAACAGTTTCACTTATCTAGGGAGCAAGATGTCATCTACAGGAGATACCGCACCAGAAATATCATTTAGAATAGCACTGGCATCTAGTGCCTTCAATAAACTGTCTAACATCTGGAAATCAAAGACACTTAGCAAACACACAAAACTCAAGATCTTCAATTCTTGTGTGATTCCAGTACTAACCTATGGATGCGAGAGTTGGAAATCAATGAAAACTCTAGACACAAAATTAGACAGTTTTGAAAATAAATGCCTTAGAAGAATACTAAATTTCAAATGGTCAGATTTCCGAACCAATACACAAATAAGGCAAGAATCCAGGCAAGAGTATGTGTCTAATTTTATACGAAAACGCCGCTGGAACTATGTCGGCCACGTCCTTAGAATGGATAAATCAAGACTTCCTTAAAAAGCCCTCATTTGGACACCACAGGGGAAAAGATCTCGTGGAAGACCAAGGGAAACCCTACGTAGAACTATCATCAGGGAAGGCTCGCTCATGGGCCACTCAAACATCCAAGACCTACAACGGATTGCAACGGACCGCCGTGCATGGAGAGTCACTACCTCTGCCCTATGTGCCGCACTCGACACAAGAGGAAAGACTAACTAACTAACTATGAAAGCCCCTCTTGCCTTTTGTATTCCTATTTTAATATCTCTATCAGTTCCTCCATCTTTATCTACATTACTGCCTAAATAGGTGCACGTCTTGGAGTGGGGTGCCATTAAGAGAAACCACATTACTATTTGCTTGATTTATTCTCATTATTTTTGTCTTTCCTTTATGGATTTTCAGACCAAGCTGCTGTGATCTCGCATCAAGTATATTTAATTTATCTTGCATCTGATTCCGTGAATGGAACAGAAGAGCAATATCATCAGCGAAGTCCAGATCATCAAGCTGTTTTGTAGGGGTCCACTGAATTCCATTCTTGGTGTTAGCAGTTACTGTTTTCATAGTCCAGTCTATACCCAGTAAAAATAGGAGAGGTGACAAAAGACATCCCAGTCGCACACCTGTTTTTATTTCAAATGCATATGTTAGCTTTCCCTCATGAAGAACTTGACATTTCATGTCTTTATATGTTGCGTTTACTAAGTTGATAATTTTCTGTGGGATTCCATAGTGCCCCATCAATTTCCAGAGAGATTCCCTAACAAGGCTGTCAAATGCTTTTTCATAGTCAATAAATCCAATGTAAAGTGGTGAGTTCAGTTCAATGCTTTGCTCTGTTATAATATGTAATGTGGCTATCTGGTCAGTACAGGATCTGTTTGACAGAAAACCTGCCTGCTCATCTCTTAGCATTTTATCAAAAGCATCTTTTAATCTTTCCAAAATAATTCTACTTAATATTTTGCCAGAAACTGACAGCAACATAATTCCTCTATAGTTTTCACACTCCTGTAGATCCACTTTTTTGGGCAGTTTCACAAGATATCCTTCTCTCCAGTCTGCTGGTATTTCTTCGGTCTCCCAGACTTTACCGAATAATCTATGTAGCAATTCTGTTGATGTGTTTATGTTGGCCCTGATGGCTTCAGCTGGGATACTATCTGGGCCTGTCGCCTTTCCTTCCTTAAGAAGATTTATAGCTTTTCTAATTTCCTCTTTTGATGGTATCTCACAGTTGATATCCAGTTCCATTTCTAAAGGCTGGATATCTGGGGGAACCTCTGGGCCTGGTCTATTTAGAAGCATTTCAAAATACTCAACCCATCTGTCCATTTGATCTTTAGTGTTAGTAAGTACCTTTCCTTGACCATTTTTGATTGATCCAGTTGGCTGACTATATTTACCTACTAATTTTCTTGTGTTACTGTAAAGTTCTCTGAGGTTTCCTTTTGCTGCTGCTGTCTCCGCTTCTTGTGCTAGATCATTTAGATATTTCACGTTAGGAGCCATTATATGCCTCCTAACTTCCTTGTTGGCTTCTGTGTATTTCTCCTGAGCTCTAGCTTTAGCAACTCTAGTTTTGTTATTATTTAAGTCTGCCTTTTTACTTTTCCTATCTTCAATAAGTTTAATGGTTTCTGGTGTGATCCATGCTTTATGTTTCCTTTCTTTCTTGCCAAGAACTTCTACGCAAGATTCATTCCAGATTCCTTTGATCTGATCCCAGCATACTTCTGTGCTGACATCTTCAGCTAACTGCTGCAACACCTGGTACTTATTAGAGACCTTAACTGAGAACTGTTCCTTAGTAACTGAGAACTGTTCCTTCACTTCTTTATTCCTGAGAAAGCCTACATTATTTTGGTTTCTATGATTATAAGATGTTATATATCTTTTTAGTTTCAACTTGATTTTACTTACCACCAGGAAATGGTCAGTAAATACATCTGCACCTCTGAAAGCCCTAACATCGTGAAGGGATGATCTAAACTTTTTGTTAATACATAGGTGGTCAATTTGATTAGTTGTCTTATGGTCTGGTGATTCCCATGTTGCCTTGTGTATTCTTTTATGGGGAAAAATACTTCCACCAATAACATACTGGTTTCCTGCACACAAATTTGTGAAAAATTCTCCATTTTCATTCATTACTCCTAGACCATGTCTTCCCATAATTTCTTCATAGCCTGTGTTGTCTGATCCTATCTTAGCATTCAAGTCACCCATCAAAATTTTTAAGTTGCCCTTTCTTTCATTATTTATAATATTTTGAAGCTGCATGTAAAATTCTTCCTTAACAGATGCATCTTTATCATTTGTTGGTGCATAACACTGCATTACCGACATGTTCACCTTCTGTTTTACTGTTCTAAAAGATGCTCTTATTATTCTGGGACTCACAGCTTCCCATTCTATTAGTGCCCTGTCTGCTTCTTTAGATAGCATCAGGGCCATTCCTTCACTGTGGGGCGAATTTTCCTCTGTGTGTCCTGAGAACAAAATAGTTTCCCCTGAATTTAGAATACTTTTCCCTGCCCCAGTCCATCTTGTTTCACATAACCCTAAAATACTAATTCCTATAATGTTTCATATCCTTTGCTACTTCCATTGTTCTCCCTATATCATAGAGAGTTCTAACATTCCAGGTGCCAATTTTGGAGGTTTTCCTAGCTGAGAGGAGGTACGTCAATGATCCGGACTCCTTACGGCTTTCTCCACACCGTGTCATACTTCTTCTATTTGAAGAGCCTCCCCTCATCTTGGTTGGCTGGATTTTACTTGCTTCTCTTATTGACTTATCCATTGTTGGTTGGTTTTTGTGGCAATGGTTTTTACAGGATGAGGCAGCCAACCTTAAGCCCAACCCTATCCTTAGTCGCCTCTTACGACATGCCTGGTAGGGTGCAGTGTCACTATTCTTTGCTTCCCGTGAGGGCCCCGGTGACACACAGGCGAAAATAAATATGTAATCTATTGTTAATCTGTTCTGTCTGAAACCCACTTAGTAATCTCCTAATATGTCTTCGATGTATGGTTTTAGCTTGTTTAGTAGTACCGCTTGTGGATAATAATTATATTCCTCTATAATTTTCCCATTTATACTTGTCTTCTTTCTTAAAAATGGGTATTAACAGACACTTTCCATTCATGTGGTATTTTCTCTGTCTTCCAAACTACTTTTATTAATTCATCTATCTTTAGATGTAATGCATGACCACTTTCTTTTAAAAGTACAGCAGCTTTTCCATCAGCACCAGTTGCTTTATTGTTTTTAAGCCGTGTTATGACATACAATTCTTTTTCAAAATCAGGCTCTTCAATATTTGGTTCACATATTAGTATCTCTTTCTGTGGATAAGTTTTTAGTGGAGCCCTGATTGGTCTATACAAATACAAATCCAGCACTGCACTGCCATTACGGACCAGAATACGTTAACTGTCAATGGTCTATAAAAACATATATGTTCAGCATTATATACCTGATGCATCACTGGCTTAAAATGGTTCCTTTTGGTTTTGGTTTAAGCTAACAGAACACACCGGGCTTTATTTCTTAAACTATTCACAAGAACACAATACAGAACCTCTATTAACAATCTGTGGACTTAAAAAAAGCACAGGAACTGAAATCTCCCCAGCTGTAGCTCCCCCATGTCCACCTTGGTCACTCATGCCATGGTCACCACACACAACAAGAAGGCTTGGTCCATCCTGAAAAGGGTGTTATATCTAAGTGAACAAGCTGCTGTTGTTTTCTAGATTGGGCTATTAGCTATTTTAAGGTATACTATAATTTAGTAGTTAACAAGAAATTTCTCATCCTAGGTTCGTCATAAACCTACATTTGGTTTGTCAAATTGGTACACACTCTGAAAAACTGATGAGATGAAGACATAAGTAAGAGTAACATATTTAGGCTTCACACCATGTAGCTGGTTCTTTGCATAATATCACCCCAATTATGTCCCACTGTAGGCCTCTGTTTCTTAGGCGTTGCAAATATGCTCTGTAAGGCCAGGATGTCATGTTCAATACCAGCTGCAGGCAATTTGGCAGCAGGCCATTTTGCATTGGTTTCAACAGTGATATTGAGAGCTGACCATTCAGTTACAATAGCAAACTACTGAGTGTGAAATTTGCCTAGAAAAATGCAACAACTAAAAAATACTGGAGTTGGTTCTGCAACACCATTTACAGCATACGCAACTAACTTTTTATGTCTCATCATAAAGCCTCTAGTTTTTGGAAGAAAAAAAAAAGGACAACAACTTGAAAACTGTTTATTTTTACACATACACTGTCCCTTTATTTTTCAACATTATTTCTACAAACGCTGATGCACCTGTCCTATCATTTTATCTGTCCTCCCAAACCTGCTGCACAGAACTGCATGCTCTGTTTTCTAAACCCCATTTTCACTTCACATTCAACTTCTGCATCATTCACGAAATGTCTCCCGCCAAAGTTAGTTTTCAGTGTATGCTAAACCATGTGAGTACTATATTGCAGCTGCTACAGAGTCAACCGTTACTCGCCTGTTACCTCTAATCATCTCCTCCACTCACTGCACGGATGCATCTGTTGCAATCTTGACAGGACTACCAGAATGGACTTTATCAACTACTTTAAAGAGTCGTTGAGAAAACTTTTTTACCTAGCTATACGCCGCTTAAAAGGATAAACATTTGTCAGCATAAGCAGAAAGTACTTCCTTATAAATGTCCTTTGCAGGCAGCTCTTTTGCAACAAACAAACGCACAATAGCACATTGTTTTGTGAGGCTACACTCCATAAATTCAGTTGCCATTTTGTTTCTGTGTTGCGAAGGTGCATGCAACACCTAGTGCCACTAAATGAAAGGAGATATAAAGTTCGATGTTCCTGTCACCTAATGACACCTTTAGAAACCACCAACTATATTTTCCTGCCATCCCTTAAGCATTTGTGACTTACTTACTGACTTTCCCTTGTATATTCATGCATAATGAGGTATCTCTGATATATTCTATGTCCACTCTCATGCTGACCATGACATCTTTTATCCATCTGTAATTCACAACATGGGCAGAGCTCTATGCAATGGCGAAGGATAGAACGACTTGGCGTGAGTTGGTTGAGGGCCTTTGCTCCATTGGGGATAGAAAGGCAAAAGAAGAAGAAGAATTCATAACAGGATGTCGCTAGGGACACTGCCATCCTCCATCCTGTGTCCTAGAAATCTCAACCTTCAAAAACTGCAGTACTGAAAGACCTGTTGTGATCCCTGCTCTTACCAATACCTCAGTGTGTGTCAGTCTATCTTATCTGCTAATGCCAATTATTTCTCATAAGCATAACATATGAAAACTACTTAGCCATTTCTTCTGGTGCAAGTAAGTTGACCAAGTTTCACTACAATACAGAAGACTGCTGAAGACACATGCATGATAAACAAGGGTTTTTGTTTTAATTGTCAGCTTTCTGTTCTCCCAAACATTTTGTTAATCGGTTCATTGCTGTTGCTGCCTTACCTTTCCTGATGTTGATTTGTTGGTCAAGTGATAGTGATTTCTTGACTGAGGATCACAGGTATGTGAAATGGTCTAGTACCTCTAGCTATTCGCTGTCAACGACGACTGATGGTTTATTATAAAAACAGTAATATCTGGGATTATTTAATTATCTGAAAAACAATTTTTATTCAATTTTTTAAATGTCAGTCTTTTCAATTCTGAGCTTATTCTATGAATTTCTTGACACCGATATTATTGCTTCCACTGTGTTTGTCCCAAACAGTTCCTGAGAATAATGTAGTTTCCATTTAACTGACATGGATAATGTTGCATTGATATACTGATTTCTTAAATGCAAACAAAGGAAGTCTAATGGCACACACTGCAATAAATTTGTAAAATGTTAGGGCTTTACATATACTAGCTTATCTTCTTCTTCTTCAGCGATCTCTGGTCATGCGCATAATCCACTGTGGGTCATAAACTGGGATGTCTTTTCAAGGTCTCTTAGGTTTCCCCAAAGCTTAGTTGTCAGTTCTACTGGGTGTTGCCATATGTCGCTCCGCAGCTCCGCCAGGAGAGGACAGTCTTGCAGGACATGTTCTGGAGTCTGTTCAGCACGAAGACACTGGCAGAGAGCTGTTTGGCTCATACCTAATTTATATGAGTGTTTATTGAGTCTGCAGTGTCCAGTGCGTAAGCGAAAAACTGTGACTTGGTCTGTTCTGTTCAAGTGCCTCAGAAAATCTTTTCCGTAGTCATAACCAGTGTTGTTTTTCCAGTCTGTTTCTGATTTTCTCTTAATGAGAGTTTTGACTTCTGGAAAAGATAGTGGCTGGTAGGTCTGTAGTTTGTTACTGCCTTCCTTGGCTAAAGCATCTGCGCTTTCATTGCCTTTGATGCCACAGTGAGACGGAATCCACTGCAAGTGAATTTCTGCCTTATTTGACAACATAGCAAGTTCCTGTGTTATACTTTGTAGATACTAGCTTATAATACAGTAAGGCAGGAGAAGAGTATGTGTGTGTGGGGGGGGGGGCGGGGGTTGAATAGGGGGGATGTGGTGGGGTTTAACTGTTTTTATCTTATGTTTTCTTCCTAGACAATACAGGAAATTAACAGAATATCTAATTTACAAGTATGGTTGCCCTGGGAATTGAGCTGGGGTCTGTGGACAATAATGTTTCATGTTTAATAAAGAATTGACATCAGCACTCAGGATATTCCCATAAGCACTCCATCTTCAGCAGCAAGTGCAGAGTTCTAATCCCAGTGGTATCAAGAGCAGTCTGATTGTATATCAGTCTAACCTCAAGAGCAGTCTGATTGTATATCAGTCTCACCTTTTAAAAATATCTCAAATCTGTGAAGGAAATACCAGCCTAGCCCCAACCAGTCTTCATACATGTTGTGCTGAATCATCAGGTTATGTATACTTAGCTCTACTGTTTGGTGCATAAACCTGGATGATGAACAAGATCTAGAAAACTTGAGACTCTGAAGATTGATTACACAGAAGAATAGGCCCTATTTCAAGGAAACAAACACAATCAAATGCAGAGATTCTGAAGAGACTAGAAATGAAAATAGAGCTGCTGAAGGAAATAAAATAAAAAAAAGACAACTGAAATATTTTTGTCCCATTAAAAGACACATTGGATAGAAGAGTCTAGAGCATTAGCTAAAGAGAGACAATGATATGACTCAACATCAAGAGATGGACGCAGAGTAGTCTGAGGGACAATACTACCAAAACAAGAGACAGAGTGTGTTGCACTGCAGCCAACCTTCGTTAAGGAGATGGCAGTTGATTAACAGAAACCCATACGAGTGAATACTGTTCAACATTTGAGTGAATCTCTGCAAAGCACAGTAAATAAATAAGATACTTTAGGTAGGAGACACCTGAGTGGATGTTTATGTTTTTTTTTTACAGATCAACATCATGCCACATGGGTGTAAACTATAAGTGCTCCATTCTACTTGTAACTGAAGCCTGAGTCTGAAGAATCTCAGTGCAGTGCACGAACACCATTGCACCGGCGAAGATCCTGAAATACCTGAGTGGATTTCTGAAGATATGGTATAGAAATCAATGGATTTCTGAGAAAAAGTCTGAACAGATGAGTGTAGTAAAATGTAGAAGGTAACAGCTTGTGTATGAACATGAAATTCAGCTGAGTATATCAACATTCAGTATGCCATCATGAGGATCTCTAAGAAGCACAAATTGGTTTCAGCATGACAATGTGGGACAAAAACTCTGGAGCACACCTTAATGCCAACAGACACTTGAACGGCATGACCCAGGTCTACCCCAACACACCCTCTCCCCAACCTCCTTTTTTCTCCCACCCTTTTTAGTGACAGAAAGGTAATAATGGGGCCGAAGGAAGCATTTTCTTAAGATCATAAACTTCATGTTGTGCTCACTCTCCTGTAGCATTGTTATCACGCTAAGAAGATCTCTGAGGGGCACATACACATTTCTGCTTGACAATGTTGGACAAAAGTATACTTTGAATAATCTGGTTTAGACAAAAGAAATTAAAATAATACAACAAAGCATTGTTCAAAGAAATATTCCAAAGTTATTACCCATTGTTCCATAGCATTATATATTTGCCTGATGATGTCGTCCATCTCTGCAAGCTTTGGTTTGACCAGTGGACTGCTAGGTCCAGCGATATGTCCAATATGGTCAAGACCAAGGTAGTGTAGAATCATAACATCCCAGGTGGGCTTGTAAAGTTCTTGCTTGAGGTGACGTGTAACATTTCTATCTACCTGTTTTATAAATTTTTTTTAAATGAACTGATGTTAATTCCTATTTAATTTGACATACTTCTACACACAGATGTGTGTGTGTGTGTGTGTGCGCGTGCATGTGTAATTTTGCTCCAACGGGGTGGATAGGCAAGCAGTCCACTAAAGTCTTGAAAGGTTGTTTGCTTCTTGCCAATGGTTTGCTAATGCAATTTCAACATTTGGGTGGCAATCCATGGTTTCATTACCTATTCTACTAAAGTGAGTGTTTGGTGCAACACTGTGAGTTGTGTATTTTGTGTTGAATGCCTTTTATCTGTGCCCACTGCAGTTCTATGTCATGATACTCAGAATATGGCAGGTGGTCAGTGTTAGCACACAGTGCCTATGCAATAATTTTGCTTGTTATGGCCAGTCTGTCATGGCTTCCTTCAAAGACAAATTGCAATTGTAGTTATGACTAATAGTGTTGGCACCTCTAGCAGCTGCCTTATGCATTTACTTAATGTGCATACTTCTGGATTTTTCTAAGATTCATTGGTTTGTTCACTGGTTTTCAAATGAGACAGTGAAGACCATTTTGTCAGCCTTTTACTGGCAAAGGAACTGAGCAATGACCTGTTTGCAGTGAAGGTGAATCTCAACTGCTGACTGCATACATGTATTTGAGAAATTAGAAATACCTTCTTAACAAGTAAAAAAGTTAAAGTAGAGGAGCCTGTTCCATGCGTTCAAGCGTACTGGGCATATAGGGCTAGACCTATATTTTAGATACTAACTGGCACTCTGTGGATGATGTGGCCAACATCATGTCAGCCACTTTACTTCCCCGAACTTTACCTGGTACCCTCTATATAAAACCTTGATGACATTGCCAGAATTAATACTGCTTGACCTCTAAGCATGAGCTGCAGCAGATCTTGGTCGAAGGACAGTTAGTCTGGTGAAGTATGTGGAAGTCTAAATGAATGTTGGGGGAATTAGTTACATTAATTTATAACTGCTGACTGTGAACTAAACAAATTGAGTGTTTCTGTTATTGTCCTAAAAGTCCTTACATGTATGACGGATGCTGTGTGCACTAAAAGAAAATAAAGCCAGAAAAATTTACTTGCAATGTATGTTTAAATTAATGTCTTCCTAAAATTTGTTACTGTCAAAAATTACAGTGGTTTTCAACCCAGGTGACATATCACACTAGTAGGGCACAAGGAAATTTCAAGAGGGGCATCAAGAAAATGAGTACATTTGTATTCGTAATAATCTGTTAAAGTAACTTTTGTGTGTGTGTGAGTGTGTAGTTTAATTACCCCAAAAAAAAAAGTTTTTTAATTTATAAAACCAAAAGCCAAGTATGTTACGTTATTTTACCCATTGATTTATGTGGATGCCCCCCCCCCCCCACAAGTTCTTGTTAATAGTGCTTAGGATTTTTCATTCTGTCCTCTTTTTAATCACATTTGTGTTAGTTGGGGGAAAGGGACAGGGCCTTGACATATATTCAAGGGTACACCACCTGAAAAACTCTGGAAACCACTGGTCTGTTACATCCCTTGTTGGGCAGTGTAAGTCGGGTGGTAATCGTTAGCTTGGAGATTTTGAGCTGCATTGTTAGTGCACTAACCATGAAGTGTGCAGGCTAGGAATTTACTTCTACCTTTAACAGTAAAAGAAAATACCCTGACTTTACTGAGGATCTGAGCCTGGATCTTCTGGCTCACCCCCCTCTGCAACAAAGCCCTCCTAATAAATAAATAAATATACTTACTTCAGTGTAATCAGACACATAAAATGATGTTGTGCCATCACTGCGTTCAAAATGCTGGGGGAACAAGTTAATCCATGTGTCATCCCCAAAGAAGACAATTTGACGTCCATGTCTTTTCATCTGTGTGATTATATTGTCTTCCTCCAGGGCAGGGGATCCAAAGTTGAGAGCAACATCTATAAAACTTGGTGTGCTGCCTGTAGTGATGGCCTGAGGATATACAATGAAATAAGTGTCCTCTTGTGTGGCTTCTGGGTCCCCCCCCCCCTCCCCTCCCCCCTCCCCCAGCACAACTAGCAAGCAGTCATATCAGTTGACTAATTAGGGGTGTTTGTTTTTCAACAAGATCAAAGTCCAGAAGTTGTCAAATAACCAGAATTTTCCGCTGGAGTTTACAGCCAATGAAGGTTAAGAAAAAGAAGAAGAATTAGTGTCCATAATGCAAGAAGCAGAAGAAAAGTAGACAAATAAAATGTTCTTTAAACATAGGTATCAACAACAATACAAAAGAAAGCTGATCAACCCATTGCAGATACTGCTTTTGGGGAGAGGAAATGGGGTAAGGAAGTAAAAGTAATTTCATAAAATTTATTTTTAAAATTATTTTACAGATCTGGAATGGGGTGAGGAAGTAAATTAATTTCACCAAATTTGTTTCATTCTCTAGAACTGACAATCACAATGGCCAATCACAGAGAAAAATGCAGGAGGAGGAGGAAAAGAAGACGGCAAAGAAGATGATGAAGAAGAAAAAAAAGAAGACAAGGGAGAAGAAGGAGGAGGAGAAGAAAAAGGCAATGAAAATTAAATTAAACAGAACCCCATGACTCATTCAACTCACTAAATCACTTGCGTCCTATCTTAACTTCTTTCTATGTGCGCCAGTCATACATGTTAACAAATTGTATCTATGGCCTCAAAGGCTCCCAGGCATTCCTTTCTCAAATCGTACATGAGATTACAGTATACTTTTTTTTCCACCCAAGAGAAAGCTGGACATTTATAACAAACATCTTCTACATACCATATAAAATTATTAACCTAGCAATTAATATTTGGTCATGCTCTTAATTATGATTTCTTGGTAGGACAAATGATTTTGCAGCATATGCGGCTCGCCATCCCAATGTTCCCCACCCTTTCAGCATTGGCTTGTTAAAGTGAGAGGGCAAGAGAGAGAGAGAGAGACAGACAGACAGACAGAGAGAGAGACAGATAGAGGCAGAGAGGGGAGTGTGAGTGCGTGTATGTGATACACAACAGAGAAGCAGGAATGGAGAGATTGAGATGTAAATTTAGAGTTGTCATCATGACCGTCATGTTTGTGTGACATGAATACATACACACTGAAAAGAAAACATATCATCATGAGATGCCTTGCCAACTGGGGTGGGCGATCATGCCTCTCCACAATCTGCAGCTGTGCGTATCTGTTTGTGTGTTGACACCCTTTCATGCAATAACAACAGCTGTCAGGAATCTTCTCAAGCTATCTTCCTGTGTCTCTCTTTCTACACATTTTTCTGGTGGTAGCAACATGTTCCAGTTTCCCTCTTCTCATAACATGACCAAAAGATTATGACTTTCTGATGTTTATGATAAGCTGTCTTTGAGTACCTGCCTCTTTCAAAACATCTGGGTTGCTCTTTTTGGCTGTCTAAGGAACTCTGAGGATTCTTCTGTAAAACCACAGCTCTGAGGCTTCAAGAAACGGTTTGGCTTGTTGTAAATGTTATTATTAATTGTCCAGGGTTCACAGCCGTATGTTAAAACTGACTCTATATAGCATGCGACAGCTGAACGCACAACACAATCTAGTAAACTTGTAAACACTTTTTTGTTAAAGTGTAAGTGTTAATTACTAATTAAATCAAATCATTATCAATGTCAAAATTTCATATTGTGTATGATTAGACGATGAGGCTCTCCTGTAAACTACGGCCGGTAGACAACAGTTGACGACCGGTTAGTCAGATTTCTGTCCCCTAGCTGCAGTGCAATTACGGACTGGAGAAGGCACAAATCAAAAAACAAAGTGAGGTCAAAATGCCTGGCAGAACCCGTGCTGCGACTCAAATTAGCGACCGCGTTCAATTACGACGCATTACGGAGTGGATTAGAGGGAAGGAAACAAGTGACATAATTACTGTGTGTTGGCGATAGCGTGCAGTGCCCTACTGTCATTATACGGTTAGGGTTTGGGTTAGGGTGTGGGTTAGGTTTGGGGTTAGGGTTAGGGTTTGGGTTGCTACGTTGAGTTTCTGCGAAGACGAGATGCTGCAACACTAACCGCAATGCTAACCCTAACCCAAACCTTAACTCTAACCCAAACCGTATGATTATAGCAGGGCAGTGCACGCTGTCTATCGCCAACACACAGTAATTGTGTCAATTGTTTCGTTCCCTCCTTTTCCACTCCGTAATTACACTGTAGCCAAGGGACAGAACTCCGACTAACCGGCCGTCAACTGTTGTCTACCGGCCGTAGTTGACAGGAGAGCCGGCGATGGATTACAGTGGCACTAGTAGTGCGATATATATTATATACCTTTATTCTTGGCAAAGTAACCGTTGGGGGATTGGTTCTAGCAATAAACTGTAACCCGTGACCCTTTCTTATTGTTTCAAACGTCTTTGGAAAGTAATTTAAAGGTCCAAACGCGAAATCTGCCCGGAGAGCGTCGATGACCATCAGCACCAACCGCCGGTAGCTCCCATGGCTGGTGTTCGACAGACTTGATTCGCCTTGGGTTAATTTCACCTTCTGAGTTGAAAATCCACGAGAAACATTTTTCACAGGAAAAAAAGCTCTCATAAATAAGGCAAGCGCAAATACAAGTGAAAGTAAATGAAATAAAATCAACAGTTTCATGATCCTGATCCAAATAATCAAATATTCTAGACTTCATTTCAAATCGGAAACACTAAGGGGGAAGCCATTATATTATTTACATCAGTGTCATAAAAACGTAGACCTCATAAATACTCATAATTAACAGCTAAAATCACAGTCTTCACGTGACGGTTTGGAGATTTGTAGAATAATAAATAATTTGCAAGTGGTATTGTAGATATTGTATATGGAACATATTAGAAACCTGCCACTTGAATTATAAAATAGCAGGAAAACGTCGAAAGTATAATAAGCTTTACTTATATCTTTAATATATCAATTTGACAAGTGGGGCTGTAGCTCAAATGGTAGAGCGCTCGCTTAGCGTGTGAGAGGTACGGGGATCGATACCCCGCAGCTCCAGATTTTTTTTTTTTATTGCAGCTTTCATATGTTACAGATTTATTTATTTAGTACAACTAAAAAAGGTTGCCTGGATAAAATAATAATATGCTTCTGATCTGACTCTTTGCAAGTGATTCAAGCCACTCTGCGTGCAGGACACCAGTTTCCATGCTCGTGAGTCCGTTACAGTCACAACATGTTGGGCTGTTCTGCCCTCAAGCCATCGTAAAGCTGCCATTATTGCCTCCACCTCCATTGTCATAATGGACGTAGTGACGTTGTACGCGAGGTCATCTGTTTTCAAAGTGACCCATTTTTTTGTTACCAGGGCGTGAAATTTCATTGATCAGCTCTTGCACTACTTACTCTTTTCATCAGACATCCATCCATTCCTGACATCCTCGTTCCAAAGTAACTATGCAAGGCTGTTTTGCTGGGCGACACGGTGATCCATTCCTCGCCACACTCAGTTTTGTCACCAGTACAAACATTTCTCATAGTGACTTCTGCTTGTGCCATCAAAGAGCCACCTTTTTTCGGCCGATGTCCCTAAAATACTATGGCCTCGTGCAGAAGGTGTTCCCTGTCCGTTGCCAATAAGTGTGAGCAAACAACCTCTCCTTGACCTGGCGATCTCCAGAAACTCTGTATGAGCTCATGTGTTGACACCTGTCTGTGCCTTGACGAAAGCTTTGTTTTCTCTTGTCTCTTTTTCCACAGATATTTCCGTTCGTCACAAGATGTCGTGGTGCCTTCCTTATTATAACGTGGCCAACAATTGTGACTGTCTTTTCCTGATATTTGTGATGGGTTTTTTTTCCTGTCCCTCGTCTATTTAAATATGGATGGATTACTCATCTTAGCTGTCCAATATTAACCATTATCCTGTAAAACTATATATCCGATGCCCCGGGATATTGTTTGGCTTGTTTTTTAATTGCCCAGTATTCACAGCCACATGTTATAAACTGCCAATTACAGCGGTGTAGGCGGGGGGGGGGGGGGGTCCTTTTGAGCCTGAGGATTTAAGGCCGCATGGCTAGTGCTGTCGCCACGACTGTCCAGGTGAGTATTTTATTTTGCCCCTGACAGAGAAAATCCATAGCCTTACCGAGGATTCGAACCCGGGTCTACCGCATGAGAGCCCAGCATTCTAACCGTTCGACCAGCCGCTCCTCGCCACACGTTATAACTGGCTCTATATTGCACATCATCATCAGGTGCCTTGCCGACTGGCGTGGGCGATCATGCCTCTCCATAATCCGCGATCTCCTGCAGCATGTATCAGTTCGTGTGCCGACACACCTCCATGCCATGCAACAAGACTGTCAAGCATCTTCTCTCGTTGTCTTCCTCTATCCCTCCTTCCACAGATCTTTCCAGTGGTCACAACATGTTCTATTTTCCCTCTTCTCATAACATGGCCGAAAAATGATGACTGTCTCCTTCTGATGTCAGTGATAAGTTGTCTTCGGTCTCCCACCTCTTTTAAAACCTCTTGGTTGCTCTTTTTGGCTGTCCAAGGTATTCTAAGCATTCTTCTGTAAAACCACATCTCTGAGGCCTCCAAAAATTGTTTGGCCTGCCTACCGATTGTCCAGGATTCACATCCATATGTTAAAACTGGATGTATGTAGCAAGCAAGAATTCTTTTTCTAACTCTCAATGACAAGGATATATTGCACAAGATGTTTTTCATTTTATAAAATGCAGTTTTTGCCTGTCCAATTCTGTTTCTTATTTCAGTTATGCATCTTCCATCTGATGTTATCCATGTGCCCAGATACTTAAATTTCTGTACTTGTCTTAAAATAACACCATTGACTTTTATTACACATTTAGGAATAATTTGTTTCTTTGATACCACCATTACTTCTGTCTTCCCATTATTCAAACTGAGGCCCATTCTTCCACTTTCTAACACCACAATGTCTATCATTTCCTGTAATTCTTTCTGACTTGTTGCTATCAAGACTGTGTCATCAGCATAACGTAAATTATTTATATTGTGCCCACCAACCACGATTCCGGGCATATCAATTGAAGATCTCATAATATATTCACTGTATATTGAAAACAAATCAGGTGAAAGTACACATCCTTGTCGTACGCCCCTCTTTATGCTTTGAAATGTACCTAAACAGTTCTTAATTCTTATAGCTGCTGTTTGCTGCCAATACATATTCTTTATTATTCTTAGATCTTTCCCATCAATGTTTAATTTTTCTAACAGTTTGATTACTTCTTCATGCTTCACACAGTCAAATGCTTTTGTATAGTCTATGAAGCATAAGTACAAATCAGTCTTTACTTCTATAGCTCTTTCTGACAATGTCCTTAGGATGTATATGGCATTGTTTGTACCTTTTCCTTCTACAAATCCACATTGTTCATCGCTGATTTCTTGTTTAATTTTGTTTCTTATTCTTCTCATAATTATTCTCAGTAAAATCTTAGTCATGTGACTCATAAGACTTATTGTGCGATGGTCTTCACATTTTATAGTGCCTGGTTTCTTAGACAGAGCTATAAATATGGATTTTAAAAGGTCATTTGGAATATACCCACTGTTATAAATATCATTTAAAAGTTTAGTTATTATTTCAATTCCAAAATTTCCCAGTGCTTCGATTTCTTCCAGTGAGATGTTGTCTGGCCCGGGTGCTTTTCCTTTCTTCATATGATGTATTGCATCCTCAACTTCTGCAGTCATTTTTGGTGGACCATCATTGTTGTTCTGCAGTTCTACGTCTGGTCTATTATCATCATACAATTCCCCTATATACTCTGTCCATCTGTTAATTATATTACTATGTCCCATTAATAAGTCACCATCCTTTGATATCAAACATCCAGTGCTGTTACGTGTCATCTTTCCTGTTAACATATTTATCTGTTGGTACATGGAATGTGAGTCTTTCCCGTGATTTTCCCCAATCTCTGTACACATTTGATTCAGCCAGGCTTCTTTAGCCACTTTGCATTTGTTCACTATTTCTTTTTGTATTCTAGAGTATTCTTCTTTATCATTCTTTTTCTTCCTTCTTTCATCCATCAACTGCAGAATTTCGGTTGACATCCATTTCTTTTTTGCAACTGTATGGGTTGGTGGGATTGTCTCTTTTGATTTCTGCTGAATTGACTCACGCAACATATCCCACTGTTCATCAATTGTTTGTATAATTTCCATTGCATTATACCGGTTTTGTACAGTGACGTTGAACTGTTCCTTAATTTCTTTATCCGTTCTAAGAATTCCTAAATTTAACTTGATGTTCTGTGGTGTTTTTCTAATGTTCTTTAGTTTTATTCTAATTTTTCCTACAACTGGAACATGGTCACTAAAGCAGTCTGAATAGTACCATTGTTACTTCACAATTTTTGCATTGATCAACAGCCATGTCTAACTCATCATAAAATGCGTCAATGTCTTCCTCTGAACTATCTGCTGTTGGGGCATAAATCTGTACTAAGTTGATGTCAAACGGTCTGCCGCGAAGTTTTACTAATAGTACTCTATCTGATATTGTCCAAAATCCTTTAATCCGAGTAGATAATTCTGTGCTGATCTGAATACTTTTCCCCTGCTCCTGGCCATCGCATTTCACTAATTCCCAGTATGTTGATGTTCATTCTCTTCATTTCCATCTTGATGTTATCCAGTTTTCCGTTTTGCACGAGTGTTCTGACATTCCATGTACCAATGTTCATGATGTTTCTACCATTTACTTTTTCTACAGTAGCTGGATGACGGTCGGGTATCACCCGTAGAGCATGATGCTCCCTACCGGACGAGGTGATTCCACCGGAATCCCCATTCACGTCGTTATCTGAATACGTATTATTTTGAGGCATGATTTTCTTGGGATGGTACAGCGGTGGTTTCCCCTTGACTTCCGCCGGTATATTGCACATACGTATTCCTAATAGGGCTGTACCGAATAGTGATTTTCACTATTCGACCAAATAGCGGGAATACGAATACGAATAGCGGGACCAACTATTCGGCCGAATACGAATAGTGTATGGTGTATAAAATATGTATAAAAAACACACATTTATAATGTCTAATGTAAGCTGAACTTTTACTTCACATAAAGTAGCACAGAATAGTCATCTTCTTCTTTAGCATTCTGAGCCCTTGAGGTTTACTGCTGCGGTATCATTCGTCTCCATTCATCTCTCTAGCTGACCTTATCTTCACAATTTGTGACACCAGTTGTTTGCAGGTCTGGCTGGACATTATCTCTCGAACTTATTTTTTGTCTGCCTCGTGGTCAACGCATATTCCTCTCTCATGTGTCTACAGTTTTTACTTCTCTGTCATCTGACATTCTTTTAATATGCCCTAACCATTTTAGTGTGTTAGCTCTCATGATGCCAGTGATCAATGGTGATTTAAACAGATTATGTGTTATGTTGTTGCTTCTGACTCTCCATTCCCCGCTGTTAGCATCTTTGATGGGTCCAACGATTTGTCGTAGAACTGTTTTCGAAAACCCGTTAAAAGGCCTCATCTCTTTTATTTCTGCTTCAAGTTTCAGAGCCAAATAAAACGACTGGTCTTTTCAACGTTTTATATATATTGATCTTGGTGTTGCGAGACAGACACTTTGACTTTAGCAGATGTTGAA